TCTCTCTCTCTCTCTCTCTCTCTCTCTGTCTCATTGTGTCATACGGATTACTGTTAATTTATTATGCTGATCTGTTCTGTACGACATCTATTGCACGTCTGTCCGTCCTGGAAGAGGGATCCCTCCTCAGTTGCTCTTCCTGAGGTTTCTACCGTTTTTTTTCCCCGTTAAAGGGGTTTTTTGGGGGAGTTTTTCCTTATCCGCTGCGAGGGTCATAAGGACAGAGTATGCTGTAAAGCCCTGTGAGGCAAATTGTGATTTGTGATATTGGGCTTTATAAATAAAATTGATTGATTGATTGATTGATTGACTTCTGATCCCCAAAATCTAATCAGTTCATTCTTGAGTCCAAGTGAACATTGGTGCCACATCTGAAAAAGATTCCCTCAAGGCGTTACTGAGATGTCACTGTGCGAGAATAAGAAGGATGCAAGGTCACAGTGACCTTTGACTACCAAAATCTTTTCAGTTCATTCTTGAGTCCAAGTGAACATTTGTGCCTAATCTGAAAAAATTCCCTCGAGGTGTTCTTGAGATATCACGCTCACTAGAATTAGACAGATTAAAGGTCACAGTGACCTTTGACTACCAAAGTCTAATCAGTTCATTCTTGAGTCCAAGTGGGCATTTGCGCCAAATTTAATGAAATTCCCTAAATGTTTTCTTGAGATACCACATTCACAAGAATTAGACAGGTCCAAGGTCACAGTGACCTCTGACCTCCAAAATCGACTGAGTTCATTCTTGACTCAAAGTGGATGTTTGTGCCAAATTTGAGGAAATTCTCTGAAAGATGTTCTTCAGATATCACGTTCACGAGGTTGGGAGGAGGGGACGTACAGGTAGATGGACAACCCGTAAACGTAATGCCTCGAGCCACAGCTATCACTGGCGCAGAGACATTAAGAGTGAAAGACTGAAACAGAGCTGCAGTCTGTCTCTCCACAGTGGACTGTAGCAGCCAGAGTCAAACATGGCGTCAGGGTAGAACAAAGTCCCAGTCCACATTAACTGGAGTCATTAACCAAAGATGGATGTCATCAGCATGCGGCGTCAATAAAGGCAGAAACCCAGCTGACATCAACCAGACTCTGTAAGTCGGGTATTATAGTTCACATTTTCTGCTATTTCTGGTTGTTTGCAATAATGCTGTTGTAAGTTCCACATATCAAACCTTGTCTACAGGGGCCTACCTCATAGAGTATTGTGCTGTTACCATGGAGCAGAGGACCATAGCAGATGTATGAGTGGCCGACTACCCAGCCGAGATCTGACGCTGCCCACCAAACCTGTAACAGGATATAGAAGGTGAAATAAGGGAGGTGACTCTGGTAAGTAAAGAGAATTCTAATAAGACTTAATTCCCTTTGTGCCTTCAAATGCTAAAAATATAACATCTGAAGGCCCCATAAATGTAAATCACATGGCTTATGTTACATAAATGATGAATGTAAATGAAAATAAAAAACACAAGCAACACATACGACTTCCAGAACGTATGACTGTTCAGTTACCATAAATATTACATGGTGATCAAATCGCCTTTCAAGTACAGAGCAATCTATCTCTTTGCTGACTGCGTGCTCCTTTTTTTTCCTTCAAACATGGCTCAGACTCAGAAGAGGATGCTTTATTGCCTTACATCTCCAGGACGGAGTCCATAAATATTTGACATGGTCCATTTCAGCATCACAGCATAGCCTGCAGTGTCTCGCACAACACCCTGAGGGACAAGATAAGAAAAACATCAGACTGGTGACAGGTATCGCACTAGGCAAAGAAGCAGGCGTAATATCAATCTAAACACAGACGTTCAGCCTGGCTGCGGCGGAGGAGATGGTATTTTGCTTTCAAATGACTGCCTCTCAAACTGACTCCAATTTCTGGCTTTTATTAGTTAATGGTGCTGTTAAAATATTTTTGAGCAGAGCAGCGTGTCCTCGAGTCCTCATGTCTCCTATTATAGAGATTTTCACAAACTTATGGTCTCCTTACGGCAATAACTGAGAGTCACAGCAGCTCACAGAGGAAAAAGCTGCCAATAACGGCACTATTAGGCTCTGGAAGTAGCTAGCAGGTGGATATTTTATATCATCAGTTGGTCGAAGACAAAATGATGCTATTTGAGTGGAGCTGGGGGGAGGTTCATTTGGAACTGCCTGGAGGCAATTCCTCCTGCATGAGTCCCAGCTCCTGCTGTGGAAATCTTATTTATGTCATGGTGACGGTGTTTAGATTGGGCCTGGATTGTTTTGCAGTCAAAGAACAGATGAGTCACACAAAAGCTCTATACAGAACTGACAGCCTTTATACAAACAGGGCCGACTGAAAATCCTGCTAGGGGTGTAAGAAAGAACAGATACTAGGGAAGCACTGGTTTATCATCCGAACATTGGCATCGGCATATTCGCCTTGATGATGGCCATCAGCCTATCTGCAAATAAGATGACATTCACGGATGGCAGTGGCCGATGTTTTTCTGTTGTGTCACAGCTATTTTTGCAGGCTGACACTAAAAGCATCCTGTCGTCCCAGAGACAATAGAAAACAAGACTGGGACACACAGAGATCTTTCCTGGGGCACCTTTGGGACAAAAGGACGCAGTAAAGACTCGCTAAGACTCACTATCAGCACATCAGGGGACACACCAGATTTTTTCCCTGATAATGCTACACTGTTAAAAAAAAAAAAAAAAATCTGTTGAAATCGGCAGGAGATCTTGTTAATAAGGGTGTAAATCACTACTTATTACGACACAATATTATATTCGTTCCTTGGACAAGACTACGATATTTGCGTATACAATAAAGTCTGCCACGATACAATTTTGATTCAGTGTGATGCGAGAGTTGAAAAATTTGAACCTCAGATACAAATGTGCACCGCAATAGCCAATCAGCATTGAGATCCTCTGGGAACGTATGATGTTTAGGACGTACCGGCAGAAGATCATTTATCAATTCAGTGATTTCACACGCCTATGATGTGAGTTATTCGTGCATATTAAGTGAGTCAACACAAAATATTCTAGTGTTTAAACTCGTGCAAGAAATGCAATGCGAAAATTCACACTGCAAAGATTTTAGTTTCTGATGTGACACTCCTGTTAGTGCAGTTGTTTTAAGGAGAAATTTGTTGATGTTTTCACTGCAATATAAAATAGATTCAAGGGAGGGAATTCTGATATATTATATGTCGTAAAAAAGGCTTTTGAAGCAGTTATTTTTAAAGATGTTTTTTATGTGAAAGAAGGTTATATTAAAGGTTGTTTCATAAATTTGTATGATTGAATTTGTGCTCATTCAAAAGGCTGAATGACCTTAAAACAGTTCTTTTTTATTATGAAGATTTCATTATTTCCCTGGCACAAAAATAAACAACACAACCAAAAAACACTGATATCAACTATTGATCAAACTGTTATTTTTCAGTACCTTTGGCGTTCCAGTGGTTCCAGATGTATAGAGGACGTAGAGAGGGTGGTTGGAGGGAACAGAAACACAGTCATGCGGCTGAGCAGTGGCCATCTCTTCCTCCCAGTCCAAACTCAACTCAGGTCCCAATGATACTTTTTCCTTAGAAACACAAAGACAAATGAGATATAAATACTCAATTTCATTCTAATGAAACTGCTATAAAAAGGAAACTGTTTAAAGTGGTGAAGACTGTGCTGCTTTATAGCTTCAAACGGTCATCAAATATTTTTGGGTGGTCATGCAGTGTGAGTTATTGATCAGATCCATCGACTCCAGTGTTTTGATTTGTGTTTTAAAATGTTTTTTTCAGTTTGGGGAAAGAGACATACAAACGCACCCCTATTTGCTTGCTTTATGAGTAACTGGGGAAATAAATTCTCTCTTCAAGTCGAATAAATACATATTATACACGGACGTTTCTGTTGAAATTCTGTTCTAACTCCCATCAGTCATAATTTGGGGTCATAGAATAATGCCCCTTGTATCTCTGACATCTGTCTCATTCCAAATCTCTTTGATACTTTAATTTCATTAACATTTAAATCCTCCCAGGAGGCCAAAGAAAAGTCATTTCTTTCTTTGGTTCTCTGAGAATGAGCTCAAGACTGCGACATCATTCAGTATCACACAGCCTCCTGAGGCGGAGGACAGACGGCCCATATAACCTCCAGCTGTCTGAAATGCATCCCATTTTACTCGATTTACTCAAAGCCAAGCCGGAGTAAAAACTTGGCTGATTTAGCAAGGCTTTCATGTTGGGAGCCGTGTCCACAGAATCACAACCTCTCGCTCGCTGAATGCAGTAATTGATCAAACAGCCGCAACCACCTTCAAAGCCGTGCTTCAGATGATTTTAAGGGGATGAATTTCCGCCGAATTACCAGTGAAAACCATTTCTCTGACTACACTGCTAATGGACCTAAGTCCACCGTGTATCATCTTCCAAAAAAGATGCAACAGAGATGTCTTAATTCAGCAGATCATTCACTGATAAATAACACTGGAGTATACAAACCAGATAAAAGAAATCGTGTAGTGTTAATGTAAGAACACAGACAGTCAGACAGAGGTATGTGGCGTAACTGATAATGTTGAACTGAGACGTGGGGGCCAGAAAAAACACTTTACAAGAATGATTGCAACCCTGGAATCAATTCTAAGAATACTTTCTATTTTCTGGGCTGAAAATTCGATGGTTTTCTTTTACGCTTGTGTGAAGGTGAAGCAAATTTCAGCTTGCTGCCACCATATTAATGCATAATTGTGTTCTGTATAATCATTCTACACTCCAAACTGGATCTGTGCCAGGCAGTTTATGACGGGCGCCAACCTGCAACCCCTGCTGCAAACACACTACATACACTCTTAACTTTCTCTCATCTACTTGAACCAGCCATACAATCAATCAGCCATTTATTTGTCACATAAAATCATGAAGTACACCTCCAGAGAAATATGATCCTGTCAGCTCCTTCAACTTGTGCACTGTAATTTAATCCTTTTTGCCTTTTTCTTAAATTGTAGGCTGCTGCTCTATAGTTGTCCATGTTTACAGATGGTTCTGGTAATCCATGGTTTCTGGTTGTGGAATGAATTAACTGTAGTTCAGTCAAAGAAAACTTTAATTCCATTTGCAGACCTCTCTGCCTTTCCTCGGGCCTACGTAGAAAGCCTCTTCCATTTGCCTACGTGGAAAGCCTAAGGTGGAGAGAGCAAACCTCACCACACTTACATGCGTCTGCATGGAAAGCCATAAGGCAGGGATAGCACACCTGTCTGCCCTTCCATGTGCAAATGAGGAAAGCCTGAGGCAGAGAGAGCAAACCTCCTGCCCTTCCATGTGCCTACATGGAAAGCCTAAGGCAGAGAGAGCAGCAGCAAAGACCCCCAGGAACAGAACAGAGCAGCATCAATGACAAACAGAAATGACATTGATAAGTCAGACACAACATGAAAAGGAGGAGCTGGGGTGGAGGCGGGTTGCAAAGCAGCTTGCAGAGGAAGCAGCAACAGTAGGCAGGCCAGAGCAGTTTAAATAGGGCCCTGAATGAGATTCACCAATTGGTTGCATTGAAAGGAATCATGTGATCTATCAGCTGACTCCCTTCCATCATTCAGCTGCTCCATCAGCTGATTGGGCTGTTTGAGATCAGCTGATGTAGCTGGGATGTGAGCTGAGCTTGACATCGTGTCCTGCCTGAACTAACGCTATGCTCAATGTTTGGGGACAGTTGCTTTTGTTGTTTCAGAAATAAAATCAACACAGACTCAGTGAATTAACTGATGTCATCAGTGACACAGATGGTGTCCTGGAATGTGCTCCAGACTCTGATTGGCTCCAGCTCTTGCGCCACTAGGGGTACGTGTCATAGTTTGTACGGCTGCCCCCTTAAAGTTGAAGATTCAAATCATCAGTTGGGGACCCCTCAGTCAACTGAGATTCTTCAAGTCAAGCAATCATTTTTTCTTTTTTTTGTCAGTCTGTGTACATGATGTTTTGGTCCCCAGGTTCAGCTGCAAAGTGAGCACTCCTCGCTTTCACACTGCCCTCCAGTAGAGGCAGCTGGGTGAGTTTGACTGAGATGGTGGCAGCTGGAGGAAGGAAGGCTTTGTCAGGTAAGGCTCCGAGATAATGTTATCTTCTGCCATCTCACAACAACTTCCTATGACATTCTTTGGCTTTTCTTCATTGGTGCGCATGCATTAACTCAGACGCTAAATTGGCCGGTTTACGAAAGTAGAAAAATGTTGCTGTCAACCTGAACGCCTGCCTTACCCTGTTCAAACTGACAGACTCTATACGGAAAGACAAGGAGTAACCTGGTCGAAGTGCGCTGTCCAGTATTCCAGGATTTAGTCAAGTTTCACAGAAACAAAGGATAATACAGTTCCTGATGTCCAAAAATGAAATTGGCACACAAGTCGTTCAGTTTATTATCCAACATCTGTTTGATAGCTAGCAGTGTTGCTGGTGCCATCTTCTCCATCTTGACCTTGATGTTTACTGACGTTTACATTTGAAAACCCCAACCTGGTTAGCTAGCAGAAGTCGGCAGGAGGAGAGTTTACAGAGTGGTCATTTACTTTCCTCATCCCGATGAGCGTCTCACAGCTATATGTCACCATTGCCAAACGCCAACTACAAAAAGAAATACCAATTCTAGGCAATAATCCTTTAAATCCAATCCTTTAAATTGAGTTCAGTGATTAAATCCTTTTTTATAGGTTAGAAAATGCAACAACAGCAGCTACACAGTGATATTAATTAGGATCACATATGGCCGCCATATGTTAGATACATTTACATTCTGTCACACAGCCAGCAGGTTTGGAAACGACACCACGTTGACAAATTAAGCTTTATGATGCTTTGTGCTTCTTACCATGTTAGGCCTGTTGTAGATGAGGACCTTCGAGGGTCTGTGAGAGCTCAGCTCCAAGGCCTTCTTCACCAGAGGGATGTACTCCACTCTCCTGCCTGGCTCGATGCCAAATGAGGCTGTAACCATCAGCTTGGGCTGAGAAACACAGAGATCAGGTGAGAATTGGACTGTGTTCAAATGTCAAGAACGCACAGCATCATGTTTCTTCAGCGGTGTTAGAAACAGAATCTCGTGCTCCCATCATACCTGCCTTGAATGTTTGTTTTGATACATTTTTAACAGGGTATTAGTGGTATGAGTCTGTTGCCTGTGGCAGCACTCCAGTGTCGAGTCACATCAAGTTCACGTACATGAGTGCAATGATGATTCTGAAATAAATAGCAGGCTCACATCACACCTGAGGCATTTCTATTGCCTGGGTCCAGACCTTTGAATCTGCCCACTCCACTGAGTTGATTGATTTGTCTGGAATGTGATATGCAACAGCAGTAACTTGGTGAGAAAGATAAACAACCAATAAGCATCATGTGGGGGACTACCGATTAGCCAACCAGAACCATGGATGGAACTAACGCCACTCTCAAGCTATTGTCAAGCTGTGCGCCGGAACCAATGAGGAATCATCGAGGTGGATGTTAATTTACAATTCTTCTCTATATCGCCCAAACAGTAACATGCTCGTGCTTGCTTAACCCAAACAATGTGTCATGTGACACATTGTGACACCATAGTTAGTTTGTAACCGGACCGAGACCCCGTCTTCAAGAAGGTCTCAGTCCGGTTGTTTTAGTGCGCACTCGAGTGCCATTGCTGTGTTCACACCTGCCCAAACGATCCACACTTAGGGGGCAAACAAACTTGAGTTCGACTGAACCGAACCAAACAGGGCAGGTGTGAAAGCACAATAAGGTTTGGTCAGGGAAAACGGAATCCTCCTCCCCTACGAACATTGGATAAGCTGAGCATTCAGTGTATGATTTGAGCATGTTTCCCCAGGGTTAATATCTTTTTATCAACTAAATCAGCATATAAGCAGCTAGTTTGTTGGTACTGCTAACTGAGAATCAAAACTTAGTCCGGCCCACTTTTGCAGGAATGGACTTTTACGCTCTTTTAAGCCCTGGATGCCTGTCAGCTTTTCGGGATGTCTGATTGTTTTTAAACGTACAGTATTAGCACTCAGGTTGTGGACTGACTGAACTTACTCGTACAGCAGCAGTTGGAAAGAAAAAACGTCTCTAAAACCAACTCATGTCATACAGTGTATGCCCAGCTTTAAAGTGCATAATCTTTGACCGAATACGGACAAATGGAGTGTAACGAGATGACAGTTCTGTCTGATATTAGGCAAGTGTTCCCTCAGAGTCAGTAATATTTTCTGTAACTTTTTAGATTTTATAGTTTGATGCACAAACACCACAGCTTCGAAAGAGATTCCATTTAAACGCACTCAGTCATAGTTTATTTTCCCTAGTGGTCATTATACGGCATTGCAATGTCTACAGGAGAGGTGCTCAACAAGGATCATTCACTTGCCTCTTTTAATTGCAAAGGGGATTCATTTCTCTAAAAGGGTCTCCTTATTCATGCAGATTATTATTAAGTGTTCGTCTGAAAAGAACTGAGTCAACAAAACTCACAACAACATTAAGCGTCCCGCGGAGAGTGCCTCAACAATAAGAGTTGAAACACTGGATCAAGTCGCTGGTAGCGATACTTAATAATACTGTATTACTTCAGATTTATGTTTGTGTAAACACATCCATCAACAGAGATCATCATCTTCACAAACAGTCGCTGTCAAAATGTCAGATTGGTCCATTAATTCTTCTGTTGCCCTGTTAGAAACTCTGAGTGCAGATGGCATCATTCTTCAGTGTGTGATTGCGAAAAGAAAAAGCAAGCCAAGTGCTTCCCACTGTGAAAGATTCATTCTGAGCTTACAAACACAAAGGGACCTCAGGCACCTCTGGCTTTCAGTGTTTCAGATACTTTTTCAGGGTGAATGGTTCACATTAGTGCTCTTCAATATGCACTTGTCAACCTTAGACTAGTGCTAAATCCAAGCAAAACAAAGTTCATGCTTTTTTTCTAGAGCAAGAAATTCTGACAGTCCTCATCAGTCCACACTGGGTGGTATCAATACTGAGAGCCGCAGAGTGTAAATATCTAGGTATCTGTCTTGATCAATCATTTAAACATCACACTGAAAATCTCATCACCAAACTGCAGCAAAAACTTCTGTGCAGAAACAAATCCAGTTTCCTTCTGAATTCTAGGAACAGTATAGTCGAGGCTGTCTTTCTATCAGTCTTAGAGTATGGTGGTACAGTATCATCTGCAGATATGCTGCTGCTTCTCTTTAACCCCCAGACTAAGTTGATCATTCTTCCCCCTGAGTCTTTATTAGAGATCCCTCTGATAATCACCACTGCATAAGTTGGTTAGACATTCAGCACTACACATAACATCTACGCTGGACTGGACCACAGCTAGGGTTGGGTACTGTTTACAGTTCCAGTACCTGGAATTTGGCACAGGTACTCAAGTTTTTCGGTAATCACAAAACATTTTGTACAAGCCGCAGGGGATATGTAGTAGACTAAGACAAAATTGACCCTTAGCTAAGTCCCACCCCTGAACGCAGACTGGCCAATCATAACGCAGCATCCGGCCGGCTCAGACCAGGGTCCGACAACAACACAGCTGTGCTCCATTGACTCTAATTCAGTCGTTTCAGATTTCCTTCATTTTCAGGCTGGTTTTGTGGATTTGGAGCTAAATGTTGTGGCTGGGGCACGTCGTGTATTAATGATACTTGTTACCTGGAGAGGTTGGAAAAAGATATATGTTTCTTCCCTGTTCCAAAACCAAAATCAAACCCTGAAAAGTGTAGGGTTAGCTAGCTAGCTACTGAAGATATGATATAGCCTACTGAATGTATACACATGCTGCTTTTGCTTTTTAATGATTATAACAGTGAAACAAAGACCGACCCTGCTGTACAGGAACCAGTGAAGGAAAGCAGGGAAACTTTGCTGATATTCAACCAGCTCTGTGTCATCGCATTGTGCGCAGATGAACGTTGTTTGACGGCAGTGGAGGTCCAGGTGCTGGCGGCAGGATCGGGGTGAAGCCAAACACTGTTAATCTATCTGCACACACTGCGATGCCACACAGCTGGTTCAATATCAGCAAAGTTTCCCTTTATATTCATTGTCTTGTGTGGCGATCAGCAGTGATGTGGTGGTTCACTTTTACACTGTGATCTGTAGCCTATAGTTCGGCTTTAGCTTCTAACTATCTTTGTCTTTTTAACCTGTTGTTGCTGCTGAGTCAGTTTGACATCCTGGATATATCCTTCAAACACAGACTGTAGACCCCTCTGTCTGCTTCTCTCTGGAATCACTTCCCTTTTCCAAAAATGGTATAATACTTTTTCAGGGAGTGCAGTTAGTTACAATGTGGGCTCCAGGCCAGCTCTGACAACTTGACAAACTATCACAAAGGGACAAGGCTTAGCAAAGGGTGAATTCTGCTCCTTTACTCTTTTCTAATCACACGTAGAGCTAATCTTCTGTTTGACTATCTGCAGTGATACTTGGCTATTACTCAAATAATATGGAAAAGAAAATAGAGCACATGCTGAAACTTGATTTGAATCACTAGGAAGTCGATAGAGTGGTTGCGGAGCTCTCTGTTGACAGCCTCAGGGCCCCGTGGCTTTGGGGTGTTTCACAATACTTATGCCTCTTGTCTAAATCTGCTGCTCTCGCCCAAATGTGATCTCAGGTACTGAAATTTGGCATCAATGAATTTAACGTGAATCGGTACTTGGTAGTGGCACCATAATTTGGTCGGTAACCTTTTAAGTATCGAATTCAGTACCTTTCCCTAAACGGGAACCTACCAAGCTTTACTACTACTGCTCTACTGTGCTACTAACTGTCATATGCTTCAAGTCTAACAGATTTATTCTGAACTTGGAAAATGTGCCTAAAGGTTTTGTGCACCACCTGTAATAATTTCCAACACATTCTCAAGATCAACAATTCAAGATTGTGACCTCAAAACACTTCACCTCAGTGTGCTATTGTTCTTACTGAGTATTTTCCTGTTATGATTTTACTGTATCTCAACATCCTTGAAAATGAAGGAAACCTCAGTTGTTTTCGAGGCTAAAACAGAAGCTTTGCATTGGCACATGAAAATAGGAATTAGGAAATGAATAGCTTCAGCCACGTCATTTCTCTGCTTCATATAAGCACATAAAAAGAACAAAGAGTGATCACATCAGCCTGCCCTTGGGTTTTAATAAGTGGTCAAGGTTCTGACACTGAATTAATGAAGATCGTGTAGCCCTGTTGCCATGGCTCAAGAAAAGATAAATCTCAACCACAGGGTGAATAACAAGATCTTCTAACCTTGGCATGATCAATGCGGACAGAGAGCTCTTTTGAAGCAAAGCCACCAAAGATAAGGCTGTGCGGTGCACCGATCCGTGCACAGGCCAACATGGTGAACATGGCCTGCGGCACCATGGGCATGTAGATGACTACCAGATCTCCTTTCCGTACCCCGTTCTTCACCAGGACTCCTGCTAACCTGGAAACCTGAAACAAGACATAGAACACAGAACATTCACACTGCACTCCTTCAAATATCCGCATTAATCTACTTTAGTTAAGTGCTCATGACTAAGTTTACCCAGCATAAACAAATGATGGTAAAACTGACACACTTTCTTGAGCATGGTTTTGGGTTATTAATGTGCAAAGAACTGTGGATTCAAGTCCTTTATAGATTGCCTTCAGATGGAAATAATCTGACAAATGAAAGACCTCAATATGTTGTTGTAAATTCAATCAAATTAAATTAAATGTATTTTTGCTCTGGGGGCAAAGCACATTCTGATTATAGTGCATGAAACTGAGTCTTTATTGAACTGAAGCATCTGCCCAAATGCCACCAAATTAATAATTTCCCTTTAATTGTGTTACTGTGTTTTGCTGTGTTTCATGCTAATGTTGGCTCAATCCAGCAGCAGAAAAGCTCAGGCAACAGTCTCAGTCGAAGGATGAAAAATGTATCTATTGTCATGGCAACACTGACAAACTCCATTGCTCTGAAATCCAACCAAAGGTTACTTGCATGCCTCTCAATCCATTTTTTACCACACGTCCTGACAGTCCAGATCAGGCTTTAACAAAGTGACTCCTCCAGCTCCTCATGCTGCTGCTCACTTCTGTGACTCCTGCCTCTAATAAAACCTTTTACCTGGTCCTGAAGTTCCCTGAAAGTGATGATTTGTTTAGTTCCAGTCACTGGGCTGTCGTAAATGATGGCAGGCTGCTCTCCACGGCCACTCTCTACATGTCGGTCCACAGCATTGTAGCAGACGTTCAGCTTCCCTCCGACAAACCTGACAGAGACAAACAGAATCAACCAACAAGCAACACCACTGCTCAACGATCATATATAAACCACACATATTTTTGCACATGTGCATTAGGGCTGGGCGATATGGCTTTCAAAATATTCTTGAAATATTTTAGGCTATTTCAGACAATTATTTTACACAATATATATCTCAATATTTTGAAATCTCTTCTACACTATTGTAGACTACTAAAACACATAATTATTAACTACAGTTACAATAAAGTTAAACAAAGTAGCTACTGTCATAATACAGTTAAATAAAGTACTGTTATAATAAAATGAAATAAAGTATTGTTGAAAAAAATCAAAGCAGAACCACTGGTGCTTTCATTCTGAAGCATCTGGCTTGTCTTGGACTGGAGGCGTTCATGTTTTTGCCGTGAATGTGAAGCTTCCGGTTAACAGTTAACAGTTTGCAGAAAGTTAAACTGTTGTCACTGTGCCATTAAATGTGATGATATTATTCACGGTAAGCGACAAACTAACAACTTTCCAGTCTGTGTAAAAATAATATCTGAAAGTCACAGTGGTGCTCCATGGTCGCAAAATGCAACTAAATAGTCGTGGTCTGGAGTCCTGCAGGTATAGAAACACACACCTTCATCTGCTCACACTATCATTACACACATTAGGCTAAACTGTTACAGCGGTGCCATTAAACGTGATGATTTATTCACTGTAAGCTGCAAACAAACTCACACCTCTCCAGTCCATGAATAAATAATATCTGAAAGTTGCAGTGGTGCTCCATGGTCACAAAATGCGACTAAACAGTCACACTCTGGAGCCCTGCAGTTACAAAAACACACACTGTCTGCTCACACTGTTAAACTCATTGAGTCAAACTCTTACTGTGGTGCCATTAAACATGATAATTTATTCACGGTAAGCTACAAACAAACTAGCAACTCATCAGTCCATGTATCAGTAATATCTGAAAGCTGCAGTGATGCTCCATGGTCGCAAAAGGCAGCTAAACAGTAGTGGTCTGGAGCCCTGCAGGTTCAAAAACACACCATCATCTCATCTGCTCATACTATCCCTAAACTTAATGAGTTAACCAGTAAGTGTGGCACCATTAAAAATGATAATCTACTTACTTAAAGCTACAAACAAACTAACACCTCTCCAGGTCCATGTACTAGTAATATTTGAAGGTCACAGTGGTGCTCCATGGTTGCAAAAGGCAGCTAAACAGTAGTGGTCCGGAGGCCTGCAGGTACAAAAACACACACCTTCATCTGCTCACACTACATTACATTACACTCCTTAAGTTTAACTGTTACCACGGTGCCATTAAACGTGGTGATTTATTCACTGTAAACAACAAACAAACTTAAACCTCTCCAGTCAATGTATCTAATCAATATCCAAAAGTCCCAGTGGTGCTCCATGGTCGCAAAATGCCACTAAATAATAGTGGTCTGGAGCCCTGCAGATGAGACACACGCTACACCTGCTCACATACCATTGCTTAAGAGAAAGTGATCTAAATGGGTGGGGGAGTGTGTGACGTGTACGTTTGTGAGTCTTATTGTGTGTGTGTCTATAGCAAGAGAACCAAAGTGAGCTCATGGCGGTGATTTAAAAAGAGACGACTGGACAATTTATACTTGACATTCACAATTTAGTCTTTTTAGACATCCCATCAGGAACAAGCCACAATACATCGAGTATATTCAATATATCACCCACTCCTAATATCCATACATACTTTAGGTTTCTATATCATCAACATCATATACCACCGTCTCTATCTCCACATCTCTAAAAGCATGCTTTCCTGAAGAGTACATTTTTGGCTGATAGGGTTCTTTTCTTTTCACTTAATATTGAAACACAACTTGATGAAACCACTTGAAACTAAAACATATGCAGCTGCCTGTGCCAGCAGTATACAAATCAATGCACTTGATAAAGCGACAGTTTCAATCCATTCTGGTGCTGTGCATATGGATAAAGAGCAGTGAGCAGGTTGAGCAGATGGTGTTTTGGAAACCAGAGAGAGACACACTGGCTGTGTCCTTCATTTTAACATGACAGTAATGCTGCTACATTCAGGCAGCTCTGGTTCTTTTTCTACCAGGCTACATGATATAATTGACAACCCCACTGTCCAAACAAACAAACAAACAAAAATATTTTCAATTCATTCCATTCCCAGTGCAGGTGTACGTCGGTTGTCAGGCATTTTAATGGTTTGCTTGCAGCTATAAAGAGAGCTTTTATCCATCTAGAAAACATCTTAATTTACTTGTACAACAAATATGAAGACATAAAATTATTTTTAAAAAAAATTTGGTGTAATTTAAGAAACTTTCAAGGCTCACTTTGCGCCTCTCTTACAAGACCTCTCTACTGTTAGCAGGCCTGAGCTGACAAACTAGCATTAGCTGATAAGCTAGCATTAGCTGTAGACTAGCTTTAGCTAGCCTCGATGAGAAACACAAGTAGGGTTGGGACTCGTTAGGATTTTAACGATTCCGATTCCTTACCGATTCCTATATTATATTCATTATACTTGCTATACATAAACAAGTAAACACAAATGCAATCATACAAATACAAAAACTTTATTCTAACTGTTGCACAGTACAATTAGATGAAAATACACATTTGTGTGTGGTGTGTATTTCAGATTTAGAGCTTGTATCATCTCCCTGAGAATATATAACAACAAAAAGTGATTCCGATTTCTACAGTAACACTATTACCTCAAATTAACCACAACAATGTAATAAAAAATACTTATATTGCATTCATGCTTGGGCACTGTTATTTACGTGACAACACCTGAACATAACACACACACACTGGCTGTTTGTGTCTATCTCTCCCTTGCTGGAAGCGGACCTCCCGCCGCCAGCCTCCGCCTTGATTAAACGCTGAAAATTAAATAAAAGAGGGAGACAGGTGTCTCCTATTTTATCTTATTTTGTTATATTTCTACCGCTCCCCTCGCTGGAAGCCTCGGACCTCCCGCCACCCACTCCCGCCGCACGCTCCTGTCTCAAACACGGAGGTCTTCCTCTCCGCTGAGCACCCGGCGCACGCCCGGCCTGTTAAATAGCCTGTAACCATGACAACTGTGTGACACAAACTCAGTGCTTTAGTGATTAGATAATGTCGGGCTCGGTCGGGTTCGGACAGAAATATGCAGCCCGTGCCGCACTCTAATGGAAATGCATGTGACCTTTTTTTTTTTTTTTTTACAATCTAGGAATCGTTTGCAGCAACCGTTATGCCAAATGTGATGGACCCGGTTCCAAAAAAAACCCATTTTTTAAGACATTTCGAACATTAAGGCCCCTTTATCAAAATGGAGGACAATAATCTTTAATTTTAACTCCATTAAAGGTAACGTTGACATTGAGCGAGACCGCTGATGCCAGCAGACACAAAACAGGCTGCGATGTAACCACTTGGGGCAATTTTGCAATGTCAATTTACGTCAACTATAAGTGTTTGTTTTTGCCACTGATAGGCTCAGATTCATTCTCAGTGTCTGATAACATTGTGGAAAGGATCCCTACAGAGATAGACCTTTTTGTTAAATAGTGAGATCATTTTTGTTTAACCAGAAACAGCACTGAAATCACACACCAGAATCCATTTAAATAAAACAGTCATTTTATCATCATGAAACACACTTCATTCAAAGCCAGCAAAGCAAAGTAAGACTAACAAAAGCTGTTTTGGTTTGTCTTTCCACTGTTCCAACAATAACTTAGTCTGGTTTGGTTGAAATGAACCATTAAAGTCACCAGTTAAATATAAAAATATGCTGCTCTATACAGGGTAAAATTATTGTTTAATTAAATTAAGTCTGGTGGGTTTGGCAGGGACAATTTAGAAGCAGTTTCTAGTTAAACAAAATGGATCTTACCCTTCAACACAAGGGTCTATCTCTGTAGGGATCCCTTCCATAATGTTGTCAGACACTCGGAATAACAATCTGAACCTGTCAGTGGCAACTCAGACCTAGAGTTGTCTTGCTTTGGTCTGAATCAGCGACTAATTTTGTTCCAAAGTTGTATAATTGCCTAGAGTTGGTTCATGTTCTCACAGCAGCAGACCAAGCGGACCAGATCAAATGCCTTGTGTGAGAAAGCTGCTCTTGATTGGTCAGATTTTCCATGTGGGAAAAGTCCAGGAAGTAAACAAAACATTGAAGAAGAGTACACTTGAAAGATAAATGTGACACTTTCTAATGTCACAATGGAGGGACAACTACACAGGTTGATTTTAGCGCTGCTCATCGTGGACTATATTGCTGTCATTGTTCATTTTAGTCAAACCATACAGTTTGAAAACGAGGCGCGGCTCCAACTAGAAAACAATGTTTTGATGCATTGGATGTGCTGAATGTGCATATTAAGGCAGTACAGGAGGAGGTGCACATTAATAATCCTCCAGGACTGTAACATGCTCATGTTTAACCCAAACAATGTGTCATGTGACTGCAGTTGGTTCACATCCAGGTCGGAACACGTTCTCACCACAAACAAACCGCACCAGAGTTCGTTTGTAACGGGCCAAGACCGTCTTGAAGAGGTGGTGGACATCACAGTGTGATTGCTGTGTTCACACCTGCCCAAATGAACCGCACTTAGGGGGCAAATGAACTTGTATTCGATTGTGTGACCCTGTAAGTAAATGGTGCACAATTGCCCCAAGTGGTTACATTGCAGCCTGTTTTTGCGGCTCTATCCTGCAGTGGTCTCACCCAATACTGGACCAATTTCAAAAGATATTGCACTCATTACTCACTTAGACACAAAAACGTGACAAAGTAGGGTCCAGGTTGAAAATACCGAAGTTACCCTTTAAAGATGCAGAACTGACATACTGATATGTTGTCCTGTAGGACTCACCTGTCACTTTTTAAATTATTACTTCATATTTTTCTTTCACACAACAAAACAAAACAAATGGAAAATGCCACTTCTTTTTGTTTGACTACATCTAGGTTTTTGTTAAATTGTAGTTTAATAACCAAAAGTGACATTTCTCACATGTCTAGTTAATGTATCTTTGCTCAGGGGGCAGAATATTAGTGATCTGGAAATATACAACCTGCATCTTCTCCTAAGTGAGGTGTGTATTTTTGCAGGATAACAGATGTACTATAATTTCTATCTAAGAGCCTATGTAAATAAAACAAGGCTCCACATAAGCTGTTTTAACTCCACATTTTGTTGTCAAAAGACATTTTGGTGATTATGTAACAGTCATGCCTCATGACGGAGGAGTCTATAGAGCTTACTGACATTGTGTTCAGTGATTTTACAATGAAAATGTTAATACTTCAGGGTGATAATTTGACTTCTGAAAATGTTTCATGTTTTTACTGGGTTTTTTTTGGACGCAAACACACGTGTCATTTTGAAGTGTTGCACTGAAACTGTTCCTTGCCGTGTTGCTCGCTTGCAACATTGAAACCTACCAGTTTGGAAACACTGGATCCTCAACGTGCAAAGTTTTAGTCCACGGCTCAAACCAGTTAATATCCAGTCCCATCTCACCCCAGAAAGTCTCGGGGTTGTCCCTGGCCGAGGCGAAGGCTCGGCTGTACGCGGTGTCGGATGCATACTTTCTGCAGCACTGCAGGTCGAAATACTTGTTCAGGTCTGCAGATGCATGCGACCCTGCAGCTCTAACACCGCGTTGTTGTTGTTGCGCTGCAGCTGAGACAGTCCACAGTTTCCTCCCGAGGCTCCTCTCGCGCTGAACTGACGCGCACTGATTCAGCCGCAGTAAGTGTTTGATTTGGAAATGCATCGCAGCTGGAGTTGTTTCTGAATGGGGAAACTTCCCACGTTTCTTCGGTGTTTTCCTGCAGGTGAGGAACCCTTCTACGGCTCGACTCTGAGCGACGTCATCTGAGGCCACGTCAGGGGAGAGAAGGCTTCTGCAGAGATCTTTGCAATGCACTCAAGGAATGCGAACTCTGAACTGGATGTGGTCTCTTGCAGGAGGAGCTCTGAGCCACAAAACTGTTACACAACACATAAACTGGTATTAGTGCAAACCGCATTATAAACCGCACAAAGTATTTCTGCACAAATATGTAAAGGATGCTTTTAACAAAAGAAATAGGATGAATTCAGGTCATGTGGGACACTGTTTTGTTTATGCCTCTGCAGATCTACATAAAAACTCACCCTATAAATCATCTTAAGTCTTTTTATGTTGGAATAAAATGAGAAAACACAATTTTTTGAAGCTTTGTGCCTCCAAACACACCATGACTGCCCCTCTGTCACTCAGGCAGCATGTTCAGGTTGGGTGGGACAGCTTGTTTGATAAGGTGAGACACTGCACTCACCATGTGCTTGCAATGCACAGACTTCCGGTAAAGGCAGACCACGCCCACTTTGATAATGTCAGACCAATCCAAACCAAGGTGACATGGCAAGCTACCCCTACACCCTCTACCAACACGTTTCCACTTTGTTTTCTACTTACATGGAGTGTCCACCTTATTGAATGCCGTCCTAAACCAACTAGTGAGTGGTGGAAATGGGTTAAAAAAAACCTTCAAACAGTGAGCCTGCACCGATGCCGACATATCGACCATGCATGGGTGCAGATCTGATGACAAGTTTGGGGGGGACACAATCAGTTGTGATTTTTTTTTAATTGCACGCGTGCAAATCATGCCCACAGAGCGCTTGAGATTGCCAGCATATTTCACGATTTCATAGAGGCTCATCACCATCACCAAGTCATTCAAAAAGCACTACAAAGAGAATCATATGCTTACCTTTACTGTTTATTTCTCTTAAACAGCTAGTAGTACATGGAACCAGCCATCACCCTCCTTTTCACTGCTTCGCTGTTAGTTAATGCTACTTCTAGTTTCACGATCTCAGGCATGTTATGTCCACTCACGTTCTCATCTCTCGCCTCTCACGGATTCCCATTTCTCCTCATCATCTTCCCTTTCTCCCAGTATATAGGACTACTGTATACATTTGTTCAATTTCAATTATTTAAGCTATTTAGAATTGGGGGGGACAATTTGTGTTTTTCAGAATTTGGGGGGGACATGTCCCCCCCATCCCCCCCTGGGATCTGCACCCATGCGACCATGTGCACGCTCTGTACAAATTAAATTCCACGCGACTACCCTGAGGTTTGTAAACTGTTCAAACGAAGACATACATTTAATATTGTCATGCAGACGTTAACATCTTAAACGCTACATTGTATTTAGGATCAAATCTACACTTCTCTAGCCTCTATAAAACTGTAGTCGTGTTTTTTTTTATGGTAAAGTGTAAGAGACCGAGTAAAGTCCGCTTGAGGCATGGGTTGAATGGTTTGATTGTGAGTTTGGACAGCCCTTAGCACTCCCAAACTTCGCAGGAACACACCTGCAAAGTCCACTAATCTGCAAGTGCGGTGAAGTCCGGACATTTGGCACAAATGTCTGAAATGGTGTCCAAATCCACAATTCATCCAGTCCACAAGCGGACTTTCTGCAGACTTCCAGAGTCCACTTGGGGTGCAGACTATTAAAACAATACTTGAAATCGTGTAGGCCAGAAATAATATTCTACAACATCATGATACAGAAATACACAGTAATATAGGCTATGGAAGGGAACCAAAATGCATTGTATTTCTGCACCCTTGCGCAGGGTATTGCCACCTATAAGGGCTAAAGTGTCTGCAGTCTATATGTTATACAGAACTTTATTTATATCTTGTTATCTCCAGGGACAGATGAGCAGAATGAATCTGACAGCAGTTACAATGACTGTAACTGTCACTCCAACGTTTCCATGGCAACGAGTAAAACAGTCTCGAGGGCTGTCTTATCAGCGGCTTGCAGTCTCTGCCCCAACAGACTGTACGTAATGACGGTGAACACGTCACAGCGTGTACGACTGGACTCCACAAGTGCTCAGTCTACAAGTCTAGACTCCAGACTCGTGGACATTGTGGGCGCTTTCTCAGGAAGTCCAAAGCTACAGTTCATACAGTGCACAAGGGGTCTAAAGCAGACTTTCTGCAGACTTCCAGAGTCCACCTGGGGTGCAGACTTCAGCAGACCTCTCTGATTTAATACCCATTGCAATATGGACGTGACGTTGTGAGTTTTGGAACTGCAGAAAAAGACAAACCATATGAATGTGTAAAATAGTTATTGATAGTCTCAAAAATTAAAATGTTCCAGAAATAATATTCAACCACATCATGATACAGAGATATGTTTAAGTCTTGGCTGTAGAGGGACTGAAAATACATTTTATTTTTCATCAGGCTGTGCAGCGAAATAGGCTAAAAAACTGGCCGAAAAAAAAAGAAGGTTTCTAATGTCAATAATGCCCAGTTTATTGAGTTATAGTCCTGTCCTTAGTCACAAACATTTCTGTTTTTGAACACCTGTATCCTGTATGTTATATAGAGACGTTAATACATTTTTGTTCTGTCACAGAAAACTCTGTATGGTACATGGGATTTATATCTTGTTATCTGCAGAGACAGATGAGTAGGCACTGTTCATCAACTCATATGACATATATATAAATATGGCAGCAGCAATTGCTGAATGTTTCCACGGCAACAAGTAAAACAGTCTGGAGGCCTGTCCATCAGGCGCTTGCAGTCTCTGCCCTCACAGACTTTATGCGATGATGATAAATACGTCACACTACGAGCAACTGAAGTTTGCAAGGGCTCAGTCTGCAAGTCCAGAGCGTAGACATTGCAGGATGGATGCAGCCATTGTGTAGTGCCAACAATTTAAGGGTCCCATTCAGGTTTGTATTTTATCTTTAATGTTCAAAAACACATTATCTGGGTCCTTTTAAGGATGTGGCCTTTGCAGTTGATGTCGGCAGTCTATGTCCTTTCAGCCAAACCGTATGGTTTCCGAAATGAGGCGGTCTGGTCTGCGGAGGGTTTCCTGGTTGCATCACCAGTTGTTCTCGCCCCGCCCCTTTGGCATCTCTGCTTCCTAACAACAAGCTGCACTTGACAAAAGAAGGAGCAAACTAGTAAGTTAGTTAGCCCTAAATCATGGACCCAGAGATTGTTATTATATATATACTTGAGGAGTCACTGCCGGAGACACCACCGTTTGATATATTTCAGGCTGATCGTTGGACCGTTTTCAGGAAGGCTTTTTAGATTAAGATTGTTTAAGCTGTGTGCTTTTAGCTAATCATAATGTTAACTGTTAGTTAACTTACGTCACCAGCACACAATCCATCCTGGGATAGGCGGGGCCACGAAGGATTCATGCGTTGCATCCTCCAAATTCTGGGATAGATGGCCTGATTTCTCGGCCGCATTTGAAATGGGACAGCCTGGGTCGCTCCGATGTGACGCAATCGGTCTTCAAATGCAGCCTTCAAAGGCTGCAGCCCCTGAATTGAGACACAGCTATTGGTTCTCATGCTGTCTGCTTTTATATACCTGTAATCATCCTCGGTCTGGAATGTTCTGTTTTTTATCTTTATAGGCCATTTGGCAACAGCTTGGGTCCATGTTTACTTCCTGTCAGCTGATGTCATCCACATACACCGTAAAACATTCCAACAAGAAAAACAAAAGAACCAACTTAGGTTGAGGTTTCAAACAGTCTACATGGTAGAGTTGTGACATCACAAATTCACAGAAATCTTGACAGCTCATTTACAGGCACAGTTTCTGATTATGAACTGTGTGTGTTTCTCTGTGTTTTGATACTTTCACAGTGTTTATAAGGCACTAATACCTGTTTTACCTTTAAAAAGACATGGAAATCTGACTTTGACAATATGGGACCTTTAAATTTAATAACAGTGTTTATCTGATGTCCCACATCACCTGAACTCACCGTAATGTTTGCATGTATTATTTTGGGATTCTGCTTACAACCTGATATCAGCATCATAGTTTTGAGCTCCACACAATTCCCAAAACATTTCTCAGGGGTAGCAGTTCAGCCTTTTATGATGAAAACAAGAAGAAATAATTGATATTTATTTGTGAACGCTTGCAGCTCATTATCATTAAATTCTCATGGTCCTCAGGGTGGCATCAATAACAACCCTCTTGTTAAGAATGCAAATACCTCTGATTAAACTGATCAGGGAACGCTTCCAGGGGCTTGTTGGAGGATATTTATGAACATGGCTGAGTTTATTGTATGGAATCAAATTCTATAAAATCTCTTGTTTAGCTGAGTCACTCGTTCTGGTGTCATCACAGTGGCAGCTTGTGCAATCCTGTCACGCCACACGGCAGCAGCAGCAGCAGCTCTGTCTGCTCTCAGATGGTGCTGTGTACATCTCTTTCGTCACTGCCATCATCCAAGCTGCGGGTAAATACCCATAATCCAGCTGACCCCCTGGACGTGACCCCTGCACACTGGTGCCCCTGGTTGAGTAACTCATCCATGTGATATTTCAGGGTCATCTGTTTCTATTTATATGTGCGGAGCAGTGTTTTCCATTAGACAGTCCTGGAAGCAGCATGCACTTTTCCAGGAAACACAGTGCACTGCCTCGCAGCTACTGGGCTCGTAACATTTCTCGCTGATTGTGTAAATGTAAAAGAACTCAGACAAACACCTTGTTAGTTTAGCAGTGGTTTCCAGGGAAAATAAACAGAGAAGTGAATATATCATTTATAAACACAAATGTTATGTTAGCATCTACATTTTACATATTCTGAATTATTGATGAAGGCTTTTTTTTATACCCATCACATTCCAGTGTTATCCTGTGGATTGTTTTAGATCTGATGAGCCTGTGCCATGGGTGGATTATGAGATAATGGGCCCCTGGGCACAAACATGCAGAGGCCCCCCACCACCTCTGCTACATAAGAGCGAAACACACAGACTTTGCATGCCTTTGTAGTCATGTTGTCTTTATGGTGTAATTGTGTGTCTTTTTTGGTCCTTTCCTGTCTCCTTGTAGTTGTTTTGTGACTTTTTGTAGTTGTTGCGCATCTGTTTGACAGCAAGATTGTCTTTTTTGTTCATCTCTTTGACGTAATTTTGTGTCTCCTTGTGGTTGTTTTGTGTCTCTTTGAAGGCATTTTGTGTCTCTTTGTGGTAATTTTGTGACTATTTGTAGTCAGTTCGTGTCTCTTTGTGGTTGTTTTTTGTCTCCTTATGGTTGTTTTGTGTCTCTTTGTGGTTGTTTTTTGTCTCCTTATGGTTGTTTTGTGTCTCTTTGTGGTTGTTTTGTGTCTCCTTGTTGTCCCTTTGTATCTCTTTGTGGTTGTTATGTGTCTCATTGTCAGTGTTTTGTGTCTCCTTGTTGTCACTTTGTGTCTCATTTTTATTTTT